ATGGACATGGTCTGTTCTGGAAACAGCCCATCTTTGGGGTCCGAATAACCCTTTATCCTCCCAGAACCAGAGACTGCAAGAGTTTTCTATGAACTGTAGCTCTTCCCCGTCCCTATAAAGTCTGGTGGATTCGTAAGGAACAGGAACTGGAGAACAAAGCCATTGTGTAGTCAAAAGGCCAACATCTCCAACTTCAGAATAAATGAAGAGATATTAGTCTGTATTTTGAAACAGTTATTAATTTTTAGCTGTGATAATGCTGTTGCAGTTATGTAGAAAAATGTTCTAATTCTTAGCAGATGCCAGCTAAAGTACTGAAGGGGTGATGTGTCATGATGTCTGTGACTTACTTTCAGGTGACCCAGCAGAAAAGTCCTTATAGAGAGAATAATAAATATACGGGGAGAAAACAAATACGCAGAAATGCTGATTGTTAAATCAGGTGGAGAGCATCGTAAGGCTACTGTTCTAGTCTTGCAACTTTATCTATATTTAAAATTATTCAAAATGAAAAGCTGGGAGAAAAGAAAGAATAAAGAAAAACGAATTTAAATTAGAAAAAAAATGAGGGAAATCTGGTGAATGACTGCAGAGCAAATAATCACAATTTTTCCTTAAAAAAAAACAAAAAACAAAAAACCCAGACATCTTAGCCAGACAGAAACATCCGGCATCCTTGGCTGGCTGTCAGTCAACCAGTTATTCAACAGGTGTTTATTACAGGTCTGTCTCGGGCCTAAAACTTCTCTAAACAGTGAAAGGGAAACCAAAATATACACTATGCAGTTCTTGTCCTCAAGCTGCTAATGATTAAGTTCAGCTCCATGAAATTTTTTTGCTCTGGGTCTAATTCCTTGGGAGATTCTAAAAAAGCACCTCAATCAGACATGCCTCTGTTAGCAAAGACATTTCAGCTCCAGGAAGAGAGTCTTTATCAGAAGCTTCTTAACCAGAAAGAGGAACAATATAGGATGTTCCAGGATGCCAGGAAAGAGAGGTTAAACTAAGAAAATTCCTGAATCGGATCCCAAGGAGGGCCAGACGTGCCGCACCTGTGACACGGGGTGTGTGGATGACATGGTGCGTGTGGACTTCCTGGGAAGGAGGCGAGCACAGAGCTGGGTCAATGTTAAGAATGAACTGGAGAAAGTCTTGACCTCTGTAGGGATGAGGATGGGGGAGCCCTGGAGAGAAGAGGGCTGGAGAGGGAGCCCTAATGAGCCTGCAGACGTGATGAGACAGGGCGCCGAGAAGGAGGCCCGGCCACAGGACCAGGCAGTGCGCAGGGCAGGCGGCCGGCCGTGAGGAAGTGCCTGGAAGTCAGCTTAGCCCCGGGCAGGTCACCTACAGGATCGGTTGAACAGGCCTTCAGGGGTATTTTCGCTTTAAAAGGCATAGGGAGGGAAAACGTTTCATGAAGATAATTGATAATTCCTGAGCGTTTCATTGAATAATTGGGGATAACAGGTTCAAAGTATAAACTCCCATTGAGATGAGTCACCCATTCCCCAAAGACGTTTTTGAGTCTGCACTTTTTCCAAGGTGTGTTCTACTTTTTTCTTTTTAACGGAGGCGCTGGGGTTTGGACCCAGGACTTCGTGCATGCTAAGCATGCACTCTACCACTGAGCTACACCTTCCCCATCAAGCTGAGTTCTAGATGGCTGGAAACATTCATGAAGAGCACGGAGGAAAATCTCATACCTTCTAGTGTGGTGTATACACTGCAGAGGAAGTGAGTTTCAATTCATCAGTAAACGGGAAGGACCCTCCGCCCTGGATGAGGTCGCGGGATTAGGAAGCTGGAGGTGGGTAAGGATGAGCCCAAGAGTCCTGAAGGTGGCACTGCAGAGGCTGAGGACGAGAAGGAAAGACTCCAGGCATCCAGGGTGAACCTCGCAGACTCCGACACCCCCCCAGGACCAGCCGTGTTGACTTCAGAAGGGACAGAGACCAGCAGAGACCGCACCGGAGTATTTCCAACATGCGGCTGGAAGCAAGCAGCTCTGCCTCGGACGATTTATGAAGATGTTTTGTTTTTGTTTTTGAACATAGTTAACTTGGAATAAATGAGCCTTGTTCCTGAAGAATTTCTAATCAAGGTATCGCTGCATAAAAACAGCTTTTAGCCTCAAGGAACTTATTGCCTTGTTTGAAAGACAGAGCACACCCACCGAGAATAGATGAGAAAGCAGTAAATAAAGCGGCCAGATGCTGGGTGTGGACAATTAAGAGGTCACCGGAAAATTTATAATGCAGTATATGTGATGGAGGGCAAGCCAGGTTTCTGTCAAAGTCTCTTTTGGATTTCCAAACGAAAAAAGGTTTGCTGTCCTTAATCTCCTGCTGCATTGATCTGGCTTTAAATCAGAAGCCGCCCTCAATTGTGGTTATGAGAATTCAGAGAAGAGACGCGTCAGTGTGGGCTGGAGTGCCTGGGATGGGTCTTGGGGGAGGGTTTGAGCTGGGCTTTGAAGGATGAGTATAATTTAGTCCGAAGTGTGAACATTCTGGGAAGAAGAGTGGACCAGGAGGGGGGCCAAAAAAGTGGGGCAGGTGACTGGCAGGGAGGCAGCAACCATGCAGATGTGCAGACAGCTGTGGGGACGGCCCCTGGATGGAGGCCGTATGTAGCTGGAGACTGACTCACAGACCAATGTTCTGAACTTGATCCAACAGGCATTGGAGGATGGGGTGTGTGAGAGACTAAAAGCAGCATTTTAGGGTTTTAAAAAAGATTAATTTAAAAGGTGACTTCAGGATGTACTGGGGTTACACGCCTGTGAGAGCAGACTGCTGGGGGGTGGGGTGGGCCTGCACTTGCGTAGGCTCTCCGAGAGAGGCGTTCTCAAGGATAAGATGGGGAGACGCAGCCACTGTCTCCACGGGTGAGGATGTTTCTGGAGGGAGGACCATGGTGGGTGGACTTCAGGGAGAAGTTCTGCTGACTTCTTCGGCCCATTTAAGAGGCACATGCTTTGTGCCAGGCACTGTTCTAGGAGCTTGGGTTACAACAGGGGACACAAGGGGCTCAGGTGGGCGGCCCCACAGAGCCCAGACTGGATGGAGATGAGAGAATTAGCCAGTGAGCACCTGGCAGAGGGCATTCCAAGCAGGAGCCAGAGCAGCCAATGCACCCCCAGGGCTTGTCTGGCCTGCGGGGTGAACAGAGCGAGGCCAGTGTGGCTGGAGCAAACTGAGAGTGAGGGGAAAGAGGTCAGAGATGGGTCAAAGGTCACAGCAAATTGAGAGTGTGGGACCCCAGGGGCGACCATAAGCTCTTGGCTTCTACTCTGAGTGGAACGGAATCTGGGGCAGGAGAGAGACATGATGGATGCTGAGATTCGATTCCTGGGTGCAGGGCAGGTCCAGAAAGACCTTTCAGGAAGGAACTGAAACAGGATGGTGGCTCAGACCGCAGTGGGAACACCAGAGGAGGTGAGAAGGGTCAGCCTCGGGTGATTTGAGGGGAGAACCAAGGAGACTGCCTGCAGGTGGAAAGTGGGGGAATGGGAGAAAGAAGGAAGCTAAGGTGGACCCCAAGGACTCTGCCCTGAGCTGCCCGCAGCAGAGGAGGGAAGGTGGTAGGTAGGGCCACTTGAGCTATACCCACCGAGAAATGATCAGGAGTTGGTTGTAGGGTGCGTTGGTTTAAAAAGGTTTTTTTAGAGGGGGACTTAATTCAGCATATTTATTTTTAGAGGAGGGACTGGGGATTGAACCCAGGACCTCATGCATGCTATGCACATGCTCATACCACTTGAGCTACACCCTCCCCCTAGGGTATGTTGATTTTGAGATCTCTCATGGGCTCCCAGAGGAAGACATCAAGTAGCGGTGGGACGTGTGTCGGGATTTGAGGAAGCGGTGTGAGCTGGAGATGGACGGGTGAGTCCTGGGCACAGGGGGACGGCTGAGAACACCCAGGAAGCCAGTGGGGTGGGGAACAGGTGGTCACGGACCGAGCTCTGGACTCTCTAAAGTTCCTTAAAAGTGAAATGCAATAGAATACAGCTGAAAATCTAACAGCAAATAAAAACAGAGAGGATGGGAAGGGGGAAGTGGAAGGAGAGAATTTAGTGAACTCCTTGGAGTTTTGCAGCAAAGAGGAGCAAAGAAATGGGGTGATGGGAGAGTCAGGAGTCCGGACACTAACAGTGTGTTTGGTGACGGAGGGTTTGTAAGGGAAATTGGACTGGGAGGCAAGGTGACCAGCCATCTCCGTGAGAATGTCGGCCACGGTCTACTGATCAGGCCCAGCTGAGGACAGCGTTATGCTGCTGAAGTCATTGGTGCCTACTCCGCTGGGGCAGTGGGGCGGGAGGAAGGAGGTTAAAAATGAATGGAGAGAAAGAGAAATGCCATATTGATATCATTTATAGATGGAATCTAAAAAGGAGGGAAAAAAAGGACACAAAGGAATTTATTTGCAAAACAGAGACAGACTCACAGACACAGAAGACAAACTGATGGTTACCAGGGGGGAAAGGGGGTGGGGAGAGATAAATTGGGAGTTTGAGGTTTGCAGACACTACCTACTAAAAATAAACAACAAGGTCCTTCTGTACAGCACAGGGAACTGTATTCAATGTCTTGTAGTGACCTATAATGAAAAAGAATATGAAAACGAGTGTGTATATACGTATATGTGTGGCTGAATCACTCTGCTGTACACCAGAAATTGACACGACATTGTAAATCAACTGTATTTCAATAAAAAAGAATGGAGAGAAAATGGAAGCTGTGCCTGGTCACCACCCAGCACGTCACCTGAGTAAGGAAGTTGAGGGGTGAGACGGAGCAGAGAAGCCTGGGTAGGGGACGTCTCCCAGGCACACGGGAGGGGCAGCGACTCCTTGAGGGGCAGGGAGTGGGCCCTGAGGAAGGGCGTGAGCAAACCCCAGGCCAGGAGGATGGAGGTCTATGGTATTGGGTCTGCCGGGGCCACCACTTAGATGGATGCTGGCTCAGGGTTCTGGAGGCTGGAAGTCTGGGGTCAAGGTGTCGCCAGGGCTGGTTGTTCCTGAGGCCTGTCTCCTTTGTGTGTGGATCACCATCCTCTGTGTCTTCACATCTTGTGGGTCTGCATCCTCCTCGCCTCGTTCATAAGGACGCCAGTCAGATTGGATGAGAGGCCACCCTGATGGCCTCTTTTTAACTTAATCACCCCTTTCAAGACCTGTCTCTAAATACAGTCACATTCTGAGGAACTGAGGGTTAGGACTTCTGTATGTGAATTTGCGGGGGGACATGATTTAGGCTGTAACACATAGAGATCAGATTAGATCAAATGTCCTTTTCAGATGGCAAGGCTAGAGTCAGAAGATGCTCTCAGCCAGATCTTGCCACCAAATTGAGTGAGGTTGGGTGCAGCAGTGGTTAAGGGTACAAGACACAGAACCCCGTCCCCAGCATAAGCAGAAAAGGGCGAGGACTGGGAGTCTGGCCAGGCTGCGAAGGGGCTGGCTTTCCGAATGGAGATGCCCCAAGACCCAGCTTCCCCGCCGACTCTCAGCACCCCCGGGTTCTGCTCTGTGCTTCATGCATCTCTAAAGTAGCTGTTCCCTCGACCTCGGGGCTGGTGGGCCAAGCACGGCCCTCCTGGCTCAGTCCTACATCTCACAGATTTTAGGAATGATCTCCGAGGCTCAATTCCAGATCCCCAGGAACTGAAAATCCAACTGGCTAGATTGCGTAGAATTCACCCGCCTCCCCAAACAGTTAAGAGCGTGGAATACAAACATGACCGAAGGGTCCATCCCAGGATGCCCGTGGAGAGGGTCTACGTAGGAAGAGGTCCAAGGAGCCTGCTAGTGAGGGGTGGGCCGGGGCCGAGCTGGGTGCTTGCAGGGAGACAGAAATAGTCCCTGTGCAGAGCAGATGGGAGCCGGTGAGGAAAGCAAAGCGGATCTGGATGGCTCTGGGAGGGTGAGAAACGTACGAAAAAGAAGACAAAAATTCTGCTGACGAGACAATGTAGACTAGGTCACGTTCTATCGAACGCGACTGCATAAGTGAGGCCAGACCGCAGGGAAACACGTGGGGCCTCGGACACGCCCAAGGCACTGATACAAGTAACTTGCTTTGGTATTTCTTCCTTTGAATACAACGGGCAACTTCAGGCAACTTAGTTTTTTTCTGTATAGAATAAAAGAAAAAAAAATGCCACAGGGTATACAGTTACCAAGTAGCTCAGCCCTCCAGCAGACACCAGTCCATTACGGGATGAAATGAATCTGCCCGAAGAAGGGGGATATTTGGGAATATTCAGGCATTTTAAAATGATTGACTTTGTTTTTTGATGGTTGAAATTGAACAAATTGAACAAACGATTCTGCTTCCTCTCTTTGCCTCTAACATGCGACAGGCAGAGTCACCAGGGACAAATCTCTTCTTATAGGGCCTTGTTGCACTCACCAAGCTGGGGGATTTAGGGGAAGACAGAGCTCAGTGGCAGAGCACATGTTTAGCACGTATCAGGTCCGGGGCTCAATCCCCAGAGCCTCTATTAAAAAAAAAACAAACAAAAACACGTGGTAGGGGTGAGTTACACTCCCGTGGAATCTTAGTTCACTCATCTCCGAAATGAGTGTCATACCGCCTGTCCTGCCTGCCTCTCCAAGAGACCCGAAACTCACCTGGGCTCACCTGAGAGGTGAGCTATTTTGCAAGTAGCATGGCTAATCTGCCCCTCAGCCCATCTGCCCCCGAGGGTGGGTGTGCGACATTCCCCGGCGGCTGGCTCCACCACCGTGGCCGTGGCTGTCCGGCAGCAGGCAGGAGGCCAGCTGTTGCTGTCCCACTAGAAGAACCTGGAAGGAGCGCGTGGCTGCAGGGCACGCTGGCGGGCTCCCTGCCCAGACCTGCAGGGGATGTGTCGTGTCACATGTATTTCAGCAGCAACTGTAAGTGACACTGAGAAGACTCCTCCACATGCTGGACGCACAGGAGACGGTTTCATAAACGATTCATGAGACCCCCCACCTCCTGTACCACCCCTCCATGCACGCCCTGGTTCATGGAGATCTGTGTTCAGGGAGTTCTTTGTCATCTGGACCTTGCTGCTGGAGCCAAAATACCCTATTCATGGAAGGAATGCACGGCTCTTTCTCACTGGGGCTTAAAGCATTAAATCCTGTCTCTCATTTAATAAATAAAATGATTTTATTGCTCTCCCTTTCTGTCGATTCAACTATTTCTCACTCCTTTGTCCCAGCGCCCCAAGGTAAAATGGGTTAAATCCGCACTCCTATGAGGGAAGCCCTAGCCATGTGCCCTGCCTCCCCCTTTTCTCAAATCAAACTTATTCCAAGTACTCAAAGACCACTTCAGGGTTTAGCTGCCATCAGAACGGTTTTTGGCACCCATAATGGACACTGCCGCTCTGTACACAGCAGCACATTACACACACCATTTGACAATTCAAACACAGACCGTTTCGGTTTTGAGTTACACGAGACCATAGTACTGATTGTGTCGTCAGACCTCCAATTGCCGTGCACACAGTAAACATGTTACCTACCACTAAAAAAACACTCGGGCGTCCTCTCCCAACCAGCTCAAACGTTCTCTCCCAGGAGCTGCCGAAAGCCTCCTGGATCAGGTAGGATGCTCTGGCTGCAAGCCAGGTTAGAAGTGGTAAAGGTTACTGCTCACTGACCTGGGAAGGCTGGCGATGGCGGCTAAGTGTACATTGGTCAGTCTTGGCTGCTCAAACATCCTCCCCACATTTTGATGGTCAGTCACACTGGGAATCACACCTTTTCAACACAGAGGCCCGGGCCTCTTACTGCCAGGTGGCCGTGGGTTCACCAATCAGCTGGGCTCTCCTGAAGCTTCAACTGGATGGGAGGGTGACCAGCTGTCCTGGTTTGCCTGGCACGGATGGTGTGTGAGGTTATCGGTGGTAAAAACTGGCAAAGTCCCGGACCACCCTGGCTGAGCTGGTCCCTATCTGAAGCCACCTGTGTGTGGAGCAGGCTGGGGTCGGGCACCCGCTTTGCTGGCCAGGGCAGAGGCGCCCCGGGTTGATGGATGTAACAGGTGCCCTTCACACCAGTTCTGCAGATGGGTGAGTACTGGGAGCTGTGCCTGTACGTGCAGCCTAGAGTCAGTTTCCCGCCACGTGCTGGCCTTCTGCATACGCTACGATTTTATGTCCTTTACACTAGCCAGCGAGAGCTCCATTGACTGACGACACAGAAGGGCTTCCGGTTTAACATCAGAGGCTCAGGGACAGCATCAAAGACCATTTCCGTTTCTCCAGTTAGCTGTCCAACCTCGGAGGCTCCCCCTGGGGCTGTGGGATGGCTCCCTTATGCAGAAAGACTTTTCTCAGTGGTATCCAATGGCGGAGACAGTGCTCCTGCCCTAGAATCCCAAGCAGGACTCTAGAAATTCACCCTGATTGGACCCACAGAGGCCATACTCCGCAACCGAAACAATGATGTCACCAAGGGAACGGCTTAACAAGAGTTAAACATTTCCGGAAGCCCACGGACTGTGTTGGCAAGAGGTAAATGCCAGAATTAAGTCACTGTTCTGTTAGGAAGTGAAAACGTGGGAAGTGGAGGCTAGGGAGGTGACAAGAAGTGTCATGACATGGCTGCCTATGAAACCTGAAATCCAGCTCAAATGTGGCCTCTGGCACAAACCCTGCTACAGACCCAACCCCCGGGAGCTCTTTCTCGTCTGAGCTCTATCTGCCCACTGGGTACAGCACGCTCACATGTTTCATATCTGTTCCTCTGCGGTAATTATCCCTGTACCTGTCCATCTCCTGAGCGGTTCCGTCAGAGGAGGGCCAGCCCCACCTCACAGGTCTGGGCATCCTCTCCCTGCAGCCCCGGTGCACCCAGCAGCAGAGAGAGGCTCCTGAATGACTGGCCCCTCGAAGTTCCTAATTCCAGCGCCTCCCTGGTGTCTGAAGCCCGCTCCACCTAGAACTCTGTTCTGTGAGAACTCACACTATGAAAACCTGAACTCAATGCATGTTTTCTCAACTTTCTGGTTTCTTTTTTCAGCCCGTTGCTCGCTGCTGAGGACTGGGGCCTCCAGCTTTCTCCAAATACCCTTCATCCCACTGTGACCACTTCTCTCCTGACAGATCAGTCACCACAGAGCATCTTCATCCCACAAAGCAGAGCCCTCACCTGCTCGTTAAAGATGGAGCTGCGCCAGGAGGAAGCCCTGTTTTGATGTAGAAAGAGGCTCTGCCCTCGGCTCCGCTGAGCACGTGGCTTGGGGTGGAAGTCGTGGCTCATTCTTTCCAAGCTGCTCCTCCCGGTCATGTTCTTTCATTGGTGGGGTGGGGCTGAGAGCTGAGAACTGTTTAAAAAGACATCTTTAATCAAAGAGAGCTCAATAAAAGGGCTGAAAGAGAAAACCCATCATTTT